CAAACTTCGTTCAGTTACGTATTGCTTTCGATAACATTCCACCAGATTAACGTTAGCTTTGAAACTGCCTAGTTATTAGGCAGCACGGAGACATGCGGGGGTATAGCTCAGTGGTAGAGCATTCGACTGCAGATCGAGAGGTCCCCGGTTCAAACCCGGGTGCCCCCTTTCTTTTATCAGTGAAGCAAGACATGCCACTAACTCAGAGGTTCAAAAACTGAGATACGCATACTCCTGGGATTACGTGAAAGAACATTATTAACACTTTCGTTTTGATAGGAGCAATAATAATTTCTTTCGAAGCACAAACGCATGTCTTCTTCGATAACAATCCTGAAATACCGTTAGCTTTTGAAACTGCCAGTTATTAGACGTGCGGGGGTATAGCTTAGTGGTAGAGCATTCGACTGCAGATCGAGAGGTCTTTGGTTCAAACCCGGGTGCCCCCTTTATTTTATTTTGTTCACGTTTATCAGTGAAACAAGACAGGCACTAACTCAGAGGTTCTGAACCTGTGATTCGCGTACTCCTGGGATTAACTGAAAGAACAGTATTAATAGTTTTGTTCTGATTGGAGCAATAATAATGTCTTTGGAAGTATTACGTATTGCTTAACAATTTCGGTTTTGATAGAGTACACAATGCCCAGCAGAAAACGTACGTCTTCTTTCATAAAGACATTCTTGGAATCTGTGCTAGCTGAAACTGCTAGATAATAGACATGGGGGGTATAGCCTATGGGTAGAGCATTCGACTGCAGATCGAGAGGTCTCCCCGGTTCAAACCTGGGTGCCCCCCTCTTTTTTTGCATTTTATTTTGTTCAAAATATCAGTGAAACAAAAATATTCCTCTTAAATCAGAAGTTAGTCATCCTGTGATACGTACCTGGATGACGTGAAAGAATATTATTAACACTTTCTTTGCTCTTGATAGAAGCACAATAATGTCTTTGAAGCAGAAAAGCATGTCTGGTTCTATGACATTCCTACAGATTAAGTTGCTTTCGAAACTGCCTAGTAATTAGACATGCACGGGGGGTATAGCTCAGTGGTAGGGATCTCGACTCATATCGAGAGGTCCGCGTTCAAACCAATGTCCCTCTTTCTTTTATCTTTTCACAGTTTTATAAAGAAACAAGACATGCCACTAACGAGAGGTTCTAAACCTTGATCGGAGCACTCTGGAATTCGTGAAGTAACATTAGCAACTTCTCGTTCTGAATAGGAGCAATATCAATGTCTTTGGAAGCAGAAACGCATGTCTCTTCTGATAGCATTCCTAATTACTGTTAGCTTTCGAAACTATCCAGCTACTAGAAATGCTTGGGGTATAGCTGAGTGCAGAGCATCTTCGACTGCTGATGAGGTAGTCCTCACCAAACAGGTACCTGCCTACTTTTATTTTTTCAAGATTATCTGGTGAACAGATATTCCTCTAAATCAGAGGTCATCCTGTGATACGCGTACTCTGAGATTAAGTGAAAGAACGGTATCAACACTTTCTGCTGTAGGAGCTAATAATGTCTTATGAGGCAAGAAACGATGTCTTTTTCGTATGACATTCCTGATTACCGTTAGCTTTTGAAACTGCCTATATAGACATGCGTGGTATAGCTCAGTGGTAGAGCATTCACGCAGATCGAGAGGTCCCCGGTTAAACCGAGGCCCTTTTCTTTTATTTTCATCAAGATTATCAGTGAAACAGAATCCAACTCACAGAGTTTCCGTCCTGTGATACCGCGTACTGAGATTAAGTGAAAGAACAGTATCAAACTTTCTTTTTAGCAATAATAATGTCTTTGGAAGCAGAAACGCATGTCTTCGATAGCATTCCTGAATTACCGTTAGCTTTAAACTGCCAGTTACTAGACATGTGGGGGTATAGCTCGTGGTAGAGCATTCGACTGAGATCAGAGGTCCCGGTTCAAACCCGGGTGCCCCTTTCTTTTTTTATCAAGATTATCAGTGAAACAAGAACCTCTAAACTCAGAGTTAACACCTGTGATACGCGTACTCCTGGGATTAATGAAAGAATATACTAACATTTCCGTTTCTGATAGAGCATAATAATGTTCTGGAAAGAGAAACGCAGTCTTCTTCCATAGCATCCTGAATTACCATTACTTTCTGAAGCACGCAGTTACTAGACATGCGGGGTATAGCTCAGTGGTAGAGCATCTGACTGCAGATCGAGAGGTCCGATTCAAACGGGTGCCCCTTCTTTTATTTTTCATCAAGTTTATAATGAAACAAGTATGCTCCTAAACGAGAGTTCCTCAACCTCTGATACGTATTCTGAATTACGTGAGAACAGTATCAGCACTTTCGTTTTGATAGGAGCAAAATAATGTCTTTGGAAGCAGAAACGCATGTCTTCTTCTGATAGCATTCCTGAATTACCAGTAGCTTTGAACTGCCGTTATGAAATGAGCGGGGTATGTAGCTGGTAATGGCATCTTGATGCAGATCGAAGGTCCCGGTTCAAACCACGAGTGCCCCTTTTTATTTTCATCAAGATTATCATGAAACGAAGAGCTCTACACTCAGAGTTCCCAGTCCTTACGCGTACTTGAGATTAAGTGAAAGAACAGTATCACACTTTCTTTTGATAAATAATAATGTCTTTGGAAGCAGAAACGCATGTCTTCTTCGATAGCATTCTGAATTACCGTTAGCTTGAACTGCCAGTTACTTAGACATGCGGGGTATAGCTCAGTGGTAGAGCATTCGACTGTCAGATCGAGAGGTCCCGGTTCAAACCCGGTTGCCCCTTTCTTTATTTTTTCATCAAGATTATGTGAACAAGATATCTCTAAATCAGAAGTTAACTGTGATACGCGTACTCCTGGGAATTAAAGAAATTATTAACACTTTCGTTTTGATAGGAGATAATAATGTCTTGAAGCAGAAACGCATGTCTTCTTCGATAACATTCCTGAATTACCGTTAGCTTTGAAATGCCAGTCTAGACGTGCGGGGTATAGCTAGTGGTAGAGCATTCGACTGCAGATCGAGAGGGTCCTCTGTACCAAACTGGGTGCCCCTTCTTTTATTTTTCAGTTTATCAATGAAACAAGATATGCCACTAACCCAGAGGTTTCCCAACCTGTGATCGTGTACTCTGAGATTACGTGAAAGAACAGTATAATACTTTCGTTTTGAAGGAAGATAATAATGTCTTTAGGAAGCAGAAACGCATGTCTTCTTCGATAGCATTCCTGAATTAGCTTCTTGAAACTGCCATTATTAGACGTGCGGGGTATAGTAAGTGGTAGAGCATTCGACTGCAGATCGAGAGGTCCTGGTTCAAACCGAGGACACTTTCTTTTATTTTCATCAAGATTATCATGAAAAGACAAGCCTCTAACTCAGAGTTCCCGTCTGTGATACGCGTACTCCTGAGATTAAGTGAAAGAAGTATAACACTTTCGTTCTGATAAGCATAATAATGTCTTTGGAAGCAGAAACACTGTCTTCTCCATAGCATTCCTGAATTACGTTAGCTTTGAAACTGCCAGTTATAGACTGCGGGGTATAGCTCAGTGCAGAGTTATTCGACTGCAGATCGAGAGGTCCCTGGTTCAAACCGGGGTGCCCCCTTACTTTATTTTGTCAAAGATTATCAGTGAAACAACATATATTCCTCTAAATCAGAAGTTAATATCCTGTGATCACGTACTCCTGAGGATTACGTGAAAGAATATACTAACACTTCTTCTTTGATAGGAAGCAATAATAATGTCTGGAAGCAGAAACGCATGTCTTGTCTCGATAGCATTCCACAACCGTTAGCTTTGAAACTGCAAGCCACATTACATCCGGGAGGTAGCTCAGTGGTAGGCATTCGACTGCAGATCAGAGTTCCCTCGTTTAAACCGGTGCCCCTTGACTTCTATTTTGTTCCAGTATATTATTCAATGAAATAAGACATGCCACCAATCAGAGGTTCGCAGCCTGATACGGTAATTCTGAGATTACATGAAGTAACAAGTATCAACACTTTCGATTTTGATAGGAGCAATTAAAATGTCTTTGGAAGCAGAAACGCATCCTCTTCTTGATAGCCATTCCTGAATTACCGTTAGCTTTGAACCTGCAATTATTGGGCGAGTGGGTGTATAGTAGCAGTGGTATGATGCTGACTGCAGATCGAGAGGTCCCTGTTCAAACCCGAGAGCCCAATTTCTTTATTTTCACTGCGATTATCGATGAAACATTACGAGCCTCTATTCCAGAGTTTCCAGTCCTGTGATACGCGTACTCCTGAGATTAAGTGAAAGAAAGGTATCAAATACTGTTCTATTATTAGCAATAATAATGTCTGGAAGCAGAAACGCATGCCTTCCTAAGTAGCAATCCTGAATTACCGCTAGCTTCTCGAAACTGCCAGTTACTAGACATGCGGGGTATAGCTCAGTGGTAGAGCATTCTGGACTGCAGATCGAGAGGTCCCGGGTCCCGGGGTGCCCCTCATTTCTTATCTTGTTCAAGTTTATCAATGCAACAAGACATGCCACAACCTCTGGAGGTTCCCAACCTGTGATTCGTATACTCCAGGGATTACGTGAAAGAACATTATTAACACTTTCGTTTGATAGGAGCAATAATAATGTCTTTGGAAGCAGAAATGCATGTCTTTCTTTCATAAGACTTTGAATTTAAAGTTAGCTTTCGAAACGCTAGACATTAGACATGCAAGTATAGCTCAGTGGTAGAGCATCTTGATCTGTAGATCGAGAGGTCCCTGTCTAAACCTGGGTGCCCCTTTACTTTTATTTTGTTCAACTAAAATTAATAAAGGTGAAACAAAATATTCCTCTAAATCAGAAGTTAACATCTCTGTGATACACGTACTCCCTGGGATTATGTGAAAGAATATTATTAACATCCTCTACTTTGATAGCTTAACATAATGCCTTGAAGCTATAGTGCTACGTCTTGTCTCCCATGACATTCTGATTTACCGTTAGCTGAAACTGCCAGATAATAGACATGCGGGGTATAGCCCAGTGGTAGTTATCTCGACTGCAGATCGAGAGGTCCCTCAAGGTTCAAATCCGGGTGCCTCTGCTTTTATCTTGTTCCAGTTTATTAATGAAACAAGACATGCCACTAATCGAGGTTCTCAACCTCTGATACGTAATTTTGAGATTACGTGAAGTAACAGAACAAAGGAATTCTGCTCTTGAAAAGGAGTACACATCGTCTTTGGAAGCAGAAACGCATGTCTTCTCTGATAGCATTCCCTGAATTGCCGATAGCTTCGAACGCTACAGTTACTAGAAATGCGGGGTATAGCTGAGTGGCAGAGCATTCGACTGCAGATCGAGAGGTCCTGCCCAAAACACGGTACCCCTTACTTTATTTCTTGTTCAAGATTATCAGTGAAACAGGATATTCCTCTAAATCAGAGGATTCATCCTGTGATACGCGTACCCTGAGATTAAGTGAAAGAACGGTATCAACACTTTCGTTCTGGTAGGCAAATAATAATGTTCCTTAGAGGCAGAAAAGCATGTCTTGTTCTATGACATTCCTGATTTACCGTTAGCTTTCGAAACTGCCAGATACTAGACATGCGTTGGTATAGCTCAGTGGTAGAGCATTCGACTGGGTAGATCGACAGGTCCCCTGTTAAAAAAACACGAGTAGAACCTACCTCCTTTTATTTTCATCAAGATTATCAGTGAAAACAGGATATTCCTCTAACTCAGAGTTTCCCGTCCTGCTATACGCGTACTCTTGGAGATTAAGTGAAAGAGCTGCATCAACACTTCTGTCTCCATTAGCAATAAAAATGTCTCTTGAGCTGCGAAACCACGTCTCCATAGCATCCCAACCACTGCTTAGCTTCGAACCGCCAGTCACTCAGACATGCGGGGCATAGCCCAGCGGTAGAGCATCTCGACTGCAGATCGAGGTCCCGGTCAAACCCGCGCCCCTTACCTTTATCTTTGTCCAAGATCATCAGTGAAACAAGATATCCTCCCAAACCCAGCAGGCCACATCCCGTGATACGCCGCAATCCTGGTACTAACTGAAACACATTAACAGCTCCATCTTTGATAGAGCACACAATGTCTCTCAGAAACCGTCCTCCCCAGCATCCTGAACCACCGTTACTGAAACCGCCAACGCCAATACGCGGGGCATAGTCCAGCAGAGCATCCGACCGCAGACCGGAGGATAACCCCGGTCCAAACCGCGTCCCCATTCTTTATCCTCCAGCCTTAACAACGAACAAGATACCACCAACCCAGATAGTCCCAAACCCTGGATTACGCGCATCTTGAGATCATTTTAAAGACTCAGCATCAACACTCTCCGTCTGGTACTGGCTACCAATAACGTCCTGGAAGAAACGCACGCCGTCCTCCTTCTCGCTGGATAGCATCTCTGAATTACCGTTATCTTTGAACCTGCCAATTATTAGACGCGGGTGTATAGATAAGTAGAGCATCTGACTGCAGATCGAGAGGTCCAATGTTCAAACCTGAGAGGAGGTTAATTCCTTTTATTTTCATCAAGATTATCGATGAAACGACATTTGTTCTAACTCAGAGTTTCCTGTCCTGTGATACGCGCAAAATTCTGAGATTAAGAAAGAAAGGTATCAAATAATTCTCACCCTATTATTAGCACAATAATGTTCTTGGAAGTAGAAAACGTGCCATGTCTTCTTCCATAGCATTCCTGAATTACTGCTAGCTGAAAACTGCCAGTTGGCCAGACATGCGGGGTATAGGATCAGTAGAGCATTCGACGGTAGATCGAGAGGACCTGCTCCAAACCTGCCCCCTTCCTTTCTATTTTGTCTAAGCTGACAATGCAACAAGACATGCCACTCAACCCAGAGGTTCTAACCTGTGATTCGCATACCCAGGGATTACGGAGAGAACACATAATAATTTCTTGCCTTTGATAAGAGCAATAATAATGTCTTTGGAAGCAGAAAATGTTTGTCTTCTTCTGATAGCATTCCTGAATTACCGTTAGCTGAAACTGCCAGTTACTAGGACATGTGGGGCATAGATCAGTGGTAGAGCATCTGACTGCAGATCGAGAGGTCCCTGGTTCAAACCTGGGTGCCCTTAATTCTTATTTGTTGTTCAAAAATTATCAGTGAAACAAAATATCTCTAAATCAGAAGTTAACATCCTGTGATATACGTACTTCAATGGGATTACGAAAGAATATTATTAACACTTCTTGCTCTTGATAGGAGCAATAATAATGTCTTTTAAGCAGAAAAGTAATGTCTCTTCTGATATATTCCTGGAATTAACATAGCTTTCGGAAACTGCCAGTTACTAGAAATGGGGTATAGCTGGAGTGGCAGAGCATTCGACTGCAGGGGATCGAGAGGACCTGGGTTCAAACACGGGTGCCCCTTTACTTTTATTTCTGTTCAAGATTAATGCGAAATGATATTCCTTTAAATCAGAGGTTCCCATCCTGTGATACGCGTACTCCTGAGATTAAGTGAAAGAACGGTATCAACACTTCTCGTTCTGGTAGAGCAATAATAATGTTCCTTGAAGCAGAAGTACGTCTTTGTTCTATGACATTCCTGATTTGTCGTTAGCTTTCTGAAACTGCCAGATACTAGACATGCGTTGTATAGCTCAGTGGTATATCTTCGACTGCAGGATCGAGAGGTCCCCGGTTCAAATCCGGGTGCCCCTTTACTTTTATTTTGTTCAAGATTATCAGTGAAATAAGATATTCCTCTAAATCAGAAGCATCCTGTGATACGCGTACTCCTGGGATTAACTGGAAAGAATATTATTAACAGTCTTCATTTTTTTGATAGAGCAATAATAATGTTCGAAAGTAGAAACGCATGTCTTCTTCCATAGCATTCTGGAATTCTGCTAGATTTCGAACCGCTGGCCACTAGACACAGCGGGCATAGCCCAATTAGAGAGCATTCTGATCTGCAGATCGAGAGGTCACCGGTCCAAACCCGGTGCCCTCATTTCTTTATCTTGTCCCAGTTTATCAAACAAACAAGACACGCCACTAACCCAGAGATTCCCAACCTGTGATTCGCATACTACAGGGGTTACTTGAAAAGAACATTATTAACACTGTTTTGATAGGAGCAATAATACAAAGTCTTGGAACCAGAAAACGTATGTCTCTTCTGATAGCATTCCTGAATTACTGCTAGCCTTGAAACTGCCAGTTATGAGAGATGCGTATAGCTCAGTGGCAGAGCATTCGACTGCACAGAGATCGAGAGGTCCCCGGTTCAAACCTGGTGCCCCTCATTTTTTATTTTGTTCAAGTTTATCAATGAAACAAGACATGCCACTAACCCAGAGGTTCAAAACCTGTGATACGCGTACTCCTGATATTACGTGAAAGAACAGTATCAACACTTTCGTTTTGTTAGGAGCAATAATAATGTCTTTGGGAGCAGAATTGCATGTCTGCTTCGATAAGATTAATGAATTACCATTAGCTTTCGAAACTGCCAGATACTAGACATGCGTTGGTATATCTCAGTGGTAGAGCATTCGACTGCAGATCGAGAGGTCTCCGGTTCAAACACGAGAGTCCAATTTCTTTTATTTTCATCAAGATTATCGATGAAACGACACGCCTCTAACTTAGAGCCCTGTCCTGTGTGATACGCGCATCTTAAAAATTAAGTGAAAGAACGGTATCAACACTTCGTTCCTGGTAGGAGCAATAATAATGCTCATTGGAAAGCAGATACGCATGTGTTCTTCCATAGCATCTCTGTATTACTGCTAGCTTCTTCAAAACCAAGCAGTTAGCTAGACATGTGGGGGGGTATAGCCTATGCAGAGCATTTGACTGCAGGATCGTGAGAGGTCCGCGGTTCAAACCCGGGTGCCCCTACTTTATTTTGTCTAAGATTATCAGTGAAACAAGATATTCCTCTAAATCAATAGAAGTTAACATCCTGTGATACGCGTACTCCTGAGATTAAGTGAAAGAACGGTATCAACACTTTCGTTCTGGTAGGAGTAATACTGTCTTTGAAGCAGAAACGCATGTCTTGTTCTATGACATTCCTGATTTACTTCGTTACTGAAACTGCCAGATACTTGACATGCTGGTATAGCTCAGTGGTATATCTGATCAGATCGACAGGTCCCCTGGCTAAAAAAACAATGAGAGCCCAATTCCTTTTATTTTCATCAAGATTATCGATGAAAACGACACGAGCCTAGAATCCTTGTGAGTTTCCTGTCCTGCTATACGCGTACTCTTGAGATTAAGTGAAAGAAAGGTATCAACACTTTCGTTCTATTATTAGCACAAAAAATGTCTTGAGCTAAGAAACACATGTCTTCTCTTCCATAGCATTCCTGAATTACTGCTAGCTTTCTGAAACTGCCAGTTACTAGACATGCGGGGTATAGCCTCGGTGGTATATCTGACTGCAGATCGAGAGGTCCCGGTTCAAACCCGGTGCCCCTGGTTTTATTTTGTCTCAAGATTATCAGTGAAACAAGATATTCCTCAAAAAATCAGAAGTTAACATCCTGTGATACGCGCGTACCCTGGGATTAACTGGAAAGAATATTATTAACAGTCGATTTTGATAGGAGCAATAATAATGTGTCTTTGAGTAGAAACGCAGCGTCTTCTTCATAGCATTCCTGAATTACCATTAGCTTTCGAAACTGCCAGTTACTAGACATGCGGGGGGTATGGCTTCCAGTGGTAGAGCATCTGGACTGCAGGTCGAGAGGGTCCCGGTGCCCCTTGTTTTTTATCTTGTTCAAGTTTATCAATGCAACAAGATATGCCAATAACCCTGAGGTTCCCTAACCTGTGATCTGCATACCTGTGGGATTACGTGAAAGCAACATTATTAATAATTTCTGCTCGATAGGGCACACAATGTCTTGCCAGAAAATCATGTCTTCTTCATAACATTCTTGGAATTAAAGTTACTGGAACTGCCAGATAATAGACATGCGGGGTGAAGTAAAGCCCAGTGGTAGAGCATTCGACTGCAGATCGAGAGGTCCCTGACCAAACCTGCGCCCCTTACTTTTATTTTGTTCAAAACACAGTGAAACAAAATATTCCTCTAAAATCAGAAGTTAACATCCGTGATAATGCAATTCTGGGATTACGTGAAAGAATATTATTAACACTTTCTGCTCTTGATAGAAGCACACAATAAGTTCAAAGCAGAAACGCATGTCTTGTCTGGATAAATATTCTGAATTTCCGTTAGCTGAAACTGCCAGCTACTACACATCCGGGGTATACGCTCAGTGGTAGAGCATTCGACTGCAGATCGAGAGGTGCAGTCCCCGGTTCAAACTGGGTGCCCTCTTGCTTTATCTTGTTCCAGTTTATCAATGAAACAAGACATGCTACTAATTGAGAGGTTAGTCCCAACCTCTGATACGTGTACTCCTGAGATTACGTGAAGTAACAGTATCAACACTTTCGTTTTGAAAGGAGCAATTATAATTTCTTTGGAAGCGGAAACGCATGCCTTCTTCGATAGCATTCCTGAATTACCGTTATCTTTTGAACCTGCCAATTATTAGACGAGCGGGTGTATAGATAAGTGTAGAGCATTCGACTGCGATCGAGAGGTCCCCTGTTCAAACCTTCGAGAGCCCACCCCTTTATTTTCATCAAGATTATTTGATGAACGACACGAGCCCCTCTAATCTAGAGTTTCCGTCCTGTGATACGCGTACTCCTGAGATTTTCATGGAAAAGAAAGGTATCAAATACTTTCGTTCTATTTTATTAGCAATAATAATGTCTTTGAGCTTAAAACGCATGCCTTCTTCCATAGCATTCCTGAATTACCGTTACTTCTCGAAACTGCCAGTTACTAGACATGTGCATAGAAGCTCCAGTGGTAGAGCATTCGACCGCAGATCGAGAGGTCCCGGTCCCGGGTGCCCTTACTTTTATCTTGTTCAAGTTTATCAATGCAACAAGACATACAACTGAGGTCTTAAACCTGTGGATTCGCATACTCCAGGGATTGTTGAAAGAAATGTCATTATTAACACTTCTTGCCTTGATAGGAGCAATAATAATGTCTTTGGAAATCTGAAACGCATGTCTTCTTCATAACATTCTTAATTACAGTTAGTCTTGAAACTGCCAGTATATAGAATGCGGGGTATAGCTCAGTGGTAGAGCACTCGCAGATCGAGAGGTCCCGCGTTCCAACCGTGTGCCCCTTTACTTTTATTTCTGTTCATCAAATTACCAGTGAAATCAAATATCCGTCTAAACTCAGAGGTTCACATCCGTGCATACACGTACCCTGGATACGTGAGTCAACGTATATTAACACCTTCGTTTTGATAAGAAGCAAATAATGCTTGGAACGCAGAAACGCATTGTCTTGTCTCATAGACATTCTCTGAATTTACCGTTAGCTTTAGAAACTGCTGTATTAGATACAGTGGGGTAGTATAGCTCAGTGGTAGAGCATCTACGCAGTAGATCAGATCCTCGTTCAAACGTGCACCTCTATTTTATCTTATTTATTCACAGTTTATCTAATGAAAACAAGATACACTAACCACGAGAGGTTCGCCAACCTGATACAAAGTTACATCTGAAATTAGTGAAGCTAACAGTATCAACACTTTCAGTTTGATAAGGAGACATATATGTCTTTGGATAGAGAAACGCATGTCTTCTTCTGATAGCATTCCTGACATTACCTTATACTTTGAACAAGCCAGTTATAGAGGATGCGGGGGTATAGCTGGTATGTGAGCATTCTCGACTGCAGATCGAGAGGTCCTGGTTCAAACCCAGATGTGTCCTTCTTTTTATTTTCGTCAAGATTATTGTGAAACACAGACATATCCTTCTAAATCAGAGTGATCCCACCGTGATATGTACCTATGAGATTAGTGAAAAACGGTGTCAACCACTCTCTTCGTTCGTGGGCAATAATACTTTAGAAACGCAGAAAGTATTTCTCTTCTCATTAACATTCTGCTGAATTACTGTTAGAACTGTCTAGTGATATAGACTGTGCGGTATAGCTCAGTGGTAGAGCATGACTGTGTAGATCGGAGAGGTCCCGGTTAAACTCACGAACCAATTCTCTTTTATTTTCATCAAGATTATTTCAGGAAACAGGACTACCCTAACCTAGAGTTCTCTCCTGTATCCGCGGTTCTGAAAACCGTGAAAGAAAGGTCAACACTCTCCTCTGGATTATAACAACAAATGTCTTAAAGCAGAAACGCATGCCTTCCATAGAACATTCCTGAATTACTAGCCTTCGAAACTGCTAGTCATTAGACATCGGTGAGCCAGTGAGTAGAGATCTGACGAGATCGAGATGTACCGTTCACTGTGGGACCCCTTAGCTTTTATCTTTGTCAATGTTATCAAGTGAACAAGCATTCCTCTAAATCATGTAGTTCAACCCAGACAACGTAAGTTATTAACGAGAGAGAACAGTATAACAGCTCGTTTTGATAGGAGTATACAATAAGTTGTCTTTCGGAAGTAGAAACGCTGTCTTCTTCATACATTCCTGAATTATATTAGCTTTGAACTGCTAAGTTATAGATTGGGGGGGTGAGAGCTCAGGGTAGAGCATTCGACGCAGATCGAGGTTCCGGTAAACCCTGGTGCCCCTTACTTATCTTTGTTAGATACGACAATGAACAAGACATGCCACTAACCCAGAGGTTCACCCCTGATTCGCTATCTCCAGGATTACGTGAAAAGAACATCACTACACTTTCGCTTCTATAGAGCAATAATAGATAGTCTTTGGAAGCAGAAAACGCTGTCTCTTCGATACCATTCCTGAATTACTGTTACCTTTGAATTCAATGCCAATTATTAGAGGGGTGTATAGATAGAGTGGTAGAGTACATTGACTGCAGATCAGAGAGGTCCCGCGTTCAAACCGGGTGCCAGATTTTACTTTTTTTTGTCTATCAATATCATGAAAACGACAGTGCCTCAACCCAGGAGGTTCCCGCTCCGTGACTACGCGTACATCCGAATTAAGTGAAAGAAAGTATCACACTTACTGTTCTGATAGGTAGCAATAATAGCGTCTTTGAAGCAAACGTCATGTCCTTCGCATAGAATTCTTGAATTGACTGCCTAGCTTTGAATCTGCCAGTTATCTAGACGTACGGGGTAAGTTTCTGGGTAGAGATTCGACTGCAGATCGAGAGTCCCCTGATTCAAACTGGGTGTCTCTTAGCTTTTTATCTTGTTCAAGTTATTAATGAATCAAGACATGTCACTCAAACGAGACGTTCCCAACTCTGTCACGGTACTTCCTGGTTATTACGGATGAAAGTAACAGTATCAAGCACTTGTTCCATTTGAGCAAAGGAGCACGATCAATAAATCGTACAGAAACGCATTCTTTCTCATACATTCCTGAATTACCTATAGCTTTTCGGAACTGCACTTTTAGAAGATTCATGGTGAGAAGCTAGTGGGAGCATCTGATCTGCAGACTGAGAGGTCCTGCATCAAACACGTCTGGGTAGCCCCCTTTCTTTTATTTTCTTCAAGATTATCGTGAAACAGACAGCAGCCCAACCATGGAGTTACCTCCTTGTCGCATACGCTCCTAGGATTACGTGAAAGAAAGTATCAACACTTTCGTTCTATTGATAGAACAATAATAAGTCTTTGGGGCAGAAACGCATGTCTCTTCGGATATAGCATTCCTGAACATATGTTAGCTTTTGAAACTGCAGTCTAGAGCAGTGGGGGTATAGCTCAGTGGGTAGAGTTCTGACCGCAGATCAGAGTCTGGTTCAAACCCTAGGTGCCTCTTTTACTTTATTTTGTTCAGGATTATCAGTGAAACAAGATATTCCTCTAAATCAGAAGTTCATCCTGTGATACGCGTTCTTGGATTACTGAAAGAACATTATTAACAGTTTCTTTTTGATAGGAGCACACAATAAGTCTTTGAAGCTAGATACGCATGACTTCTTCCAGAAGCTCCTGAATTACCGTCATTCTTGAAACTGCACAGTTATAGACTGGGGTATAGGCTCAGTGGTAGAGCATTCGCAGACGAGAGGGTCCCTCCGGTTCAAACCTGGTGCCCCTTTGCTTTATCTTGTTCACAGTTATCCATGAAACAAGACATCACCTTAACCCAGAGGTTCCCAACCTTCTGATCATGTACCTTGAGATTACGTGAAAGATCATGTATTAAACACTTTCGTTCTGTGATAAGGAGCCAATGCTTGGAACGCAGAAACGTGCATGTCTTCTTCTGATAGCATTCCGAATTAATCCGTTAGCTCTTTGAAACTCCAATCAGTTCAGACGTGGGTGTATAGATCATGGTAGAGCATTCGACTGCGATCGTGAGAGGTCCTCCCTTCAAACCCGGGTAGCCCCTCCGCTTTAATGTTCTCATACATGAAACAGATGCCACGAACTCTAACCAGCTTATGCCTCTGTACCCTGATGGAAAGTAAACACGTACTTCTGGACTAAAATTAATTCTTGGAAATGAAAGTTCGTCATTCTTATACCTAGCATGAAACCTTTCAGTTTATAGCTCTGGTGTGAGTATTCTGACTTACAGATCGAGAGGTCCCGTGGTTCAAACCCAGGTGCCACCTTTCTTTTATTTTAGTTCGGTGATTATCAGTGAAACAAGACTATGCTCTCTAAACTCAGTAGGACATCCTGTGATACGCGTACTCCTGAGGATTAAGTAAAACGGTATCAACCACTTTGTCCCTGGGTAGAGCAATAATAATGCTGAGGAAACAGCATTTCTTTCATAAGACATTCGAATTTACCGTTAGCCTTTTGAACCGCTAGTATTTAGACGATGCGGGGTATAGCTCATGGTGATCATCTGACTGCAGATCGAGCAGGTCCTCGGTTCAAACACCGTGCCTGCCCAATTTCTTTTATATTTTTCTAAGATTATCATGAAAAAGATATTCCTCTAACTCAGAGGTTTCGCGTCAGATACGCGTACCTCGGAGATTAAGTGAAAGCAAAGTACAACACTTCGTTCTATTTTGTATAGAGCAATAATTTTCTTTGGATTACAGAAACGCATGTCTTCTTCATAGCATTCCTGGAATTACCGTTAACTTGCGAACTGCCACATTAGACATGGGGGTATAGCCAGTGGTAGAGCATTCGACTGAGACTGAGAGGTCCCCTACCAAACCTGGTGACCTTTCTTTATTTCTGTCAGATGTATCAGTGAAACAAGACTATCCAGTCCTAGATGACATCCCGTGATTCACGCAGTACTCCAGTGGGACTTAACTGAAAGAACATATCATTAACTTTGCTATTTTGATAGGAGCAATAATAATGTCTTTGGAAGCTAGAAACTGCATGTCTCTATAGATAACATTCCTGAATTACCGTTAGCTTTCGACCGCAGTTATCAGAATGTCGGGGGTATAGTCTGTGTAGAGCATCTGACTGGTCGAGAGGTCCCTCGAGTCACCCGGTGCCCTTTATTATTTGTTCACAGCTTATCAGTGCAAAAGAATGCTCAAATAAAGGTTCCCATACCCAGATATCGTGCTATGCAGGATTGACTGAAAATACATTAAACACTTCGTGTCTTGATAGGAGCACACTAATGACTCTTGAACCAGAAACGATATCTTCTTCCATACCTGGAATTACCGTTGGACTTTGAACTGCAATATTAGAAGCCGCGGGTGTATAGCTCAGTGGTGAGCATTCGACTGCAGATCGAGAGGTCCCTCGTTCAAACCCGAGGCCCCAATTTCTTTTATTTTCATCAAGATTATCGTGAAACATTAATGCCATCTAACCCAGAGTTCTAGTCCTGTGATTGCGTAGTACTCCATGGATTACTATGAAAGAAAGTTATCGTCACTTTCGTTCTTTATAGCAATACTTAGACTCGGTTCTTGGAAGCAGAAACGCATGTCTCTTCCATAGCATTCCTGAATTTACCGTTAGCTGAAATCAAGCAGATACTGTGAGACATGCGGGTGTACCAGTGGTATATCTCGACTGCAGATCGAGAGGTCCCTGATTCAAATCCGGGTGCCCCTTTGCTTTATCTTGTTCCAGCTTATTAATGAAAACAAGACATGCCACTAAACGAGAGGTTCCCAAACTCCTGGATACGTGTACCCTGAGACATGCGGAAATAACAGCATCAGAATTTCTGCTCTGAAAGGAGCAATAATAATGTCTTTGCCAGAAACGCATGTCTCTTCGATAGCATTCCTGAATTACTGATAGCTTACGGAACTGCCTGTTACTAGAAATACGGGGTATAGCTTGGAGTGGGCAGAGCATTCGGACTGCAGATCGACAGGTCCCTGGTTAAAAAACACGAGAGCCAGCCCAATTTCTTTTATTTTCATCAAGATTATCGATGAAACGTGACACGAGCCTCTAAACTCAGAGTTTCCTGTCGTGCTATATACGCGTACTCTTGAGATTAAGTGAAAGAAAGGTATCAACACTTCTTGCCCTATTATTAGCAATACACGTTCCTGGAAGCAGAACGCATGTCTTCTTCCCATAGCATTCCTTAATTACTGTTACTGAAACTGCCATAGTTACTAGACATGTAGTATAGTCGCGGTAGAGCATTCGACGTAGATCGAGAGGTCCCTGGTTCAAACCTGGGTGCCCCTTACTTTATTTTGTTCAAGATTATCAGTGAAACAAGATATTCCTCTAAATCGTAGTTAACATCCTGTGATACGCGTACTCCCAGATTATCTAAAAGAATATTATTAACAGTTTCATTTTGATAGGAGTAATAATAATGTCTTTGAAGTAGATACGCATGTTCCTCTTCCATAGCTTTCCTGAATTACCATTAGCTTCGAAACTGCCACATTAGACATGCGGGGTATAGCCTGTGCGGTAGAGCATTCGACTGCAGATCGGAGAGGTCCCTGTCTAAACTGGGTGCCCTTGCTTTATCTTGTTCCAGCTTATCAATGAAACAAGACATGCCACCAACCCAGAGGTTCCCAACCTCTGATACGTGTACTCTGAGATTACGGAAAGATCAGTATCAACACTTTGCTCGAAAGGAGCAATAATAATGTCTTTGAAGCAGAAACGCATGTCTTCTTCATGATATATCTCTGGAATTACTGCTATCTTTGAACCTGCCACTATTAGACGTGCGGGTGTATAGATAAGTGGCAGAGTATCTGACTGCAGATCGAGAGGTCCCCTGTTCAAACCGAGAACCCAATTTCTCTGGCTCCTTTATCGATGAAACGACATGAGACCTAACCTAGAGCTTCTGTCCCGGTGATACGTACTCCTAAAAAATTAAGTGAAAGAAAGGTATCAACACTCGTCTATAGCTCAGTGGTAGAGCATTCCGATTGTGTAGATCGAGAGGTCCCTGGTCTCAAACCCCGTGCCCCTCACTTTTTTTTATTGCGAAGTCTAAGACATCATGAAACAAGATATTCCTAAATCAGGAAGCCAATGATCCCAAGATACGCGTACTCCTGAGATTAAGTGAAAGAACGGTGTCAAGACTTTCGTTCTGGTAGGGAGCAATAATAATGTCTTTAGAAGCAGAAACGCATGTCTGGTTCTAAGGACATTCCCTGATTTACCGTTACTGAAACTGCCAGATATTACTAGACATGCGCTGGTATAGCTCAGTGGTAGAGTATCTGACGCAGATCGACAGTAGTCCCCGGTTAAAACACGAGAGCCCAATTTCTTTTATTTTCACTCAAGATGGCCGATGAAACGAATAATGAGCCTCTAACTCAGAGTTTCCCGTCCTGCTATACGCGGTACTCTTGAGATTAAGTGAAAGAAAGGCATCAACACTTTCGTTCTATTATTAGGCACACAATAATGCCGTCTTTGAGCAGAAACGGCTGCCCTCTCTCCATAGCATTCCTGGAATTACCGTTAGCTTTCGAAACCGCTAGTTACTAGACATGTGTATAGCTCAGTGGTAGAGCATTCGACTGCAGATCGAGAGGTCCCCGGGTCAAACCCGGGTGTCCCTCATTTTTATTTTGTTCAAGATTATCAGTGAAACAAGATGGATTCTTCTAAATCAGAAGCTAACAATTCCAGATACGCGGTA